TCCCTGCCGAGCAGGGAGCCCGATGTGGGACTCGATCCAGGGACTCCAGGATCATGACCTGAGCCGAAGGCAGTCGCTTAACCAACTGAGCCACCCAGGCGCCCCTATAGGCAAGTTCTAAGTGTTAAAAGAGTCAATAAGACTATTTGGTGTAAAGTAATAAGTCACATTTCCTTGATTTCAAAGCTGGATTTAGGTCTTATGATAATAAGCAAAGCTGAAACCGAGCACACAGAAGGTTTTCCATAAATATTTGTGGAATGAATAAGACGGATACTTGGGTGCTCATGGTGTCATTCTAAAATTGGAATATAATTACTCTAAATGGACAATAATTCCATCACCAAAAAAACACTGATCTAAGCAATCAAGTTTACAATGATCTTTTTCAATGTGTCATTGTGTAAGGTTTCACTTACCAAACTCAACATTCCTATAGAATCAATGCAAACTGAAGGAAAATACAATAAATGTCTACATTGAACATTTGCAGAAGGCTTAAGATTTTACAGTGTGTTTCAGTTTACTCATACAATAAACTCTGAAGAGAGAATAAGAATTATCATAGAAGAAAATGAGAGACGATAAGTGTCTAGGTTTTGATAATCAGTACAGAGCCAGGCAAAATGGCTGTTTTCTGACTCCTAAGCTAATACCTTCAGCATTGCACTGGACTGTCTTTCTACTATGGTGCTTGGCAAAAGGAGATGAAAAAAGACAGGTAAAATGACCTAGAAGGGAAGAGGACAATTCTAATTCCTTTTAACATTACGTAAGGTTTATTATTTCATTGTATATTTACCATAACATGGAGTCACAGACTTCCCATTATTGTCAGAGGATACTCAGGATCAAATATTGATTGCACCCTTTTCTGTGGATGATTCAATTTGGACACAAGTGCAACAAGTCTAGTAAAGATACAGGTAGCAGTCAGTGAAGGTCATCAGATCAGACTCCTGGAAAGCCTGCCTCTAGCAACTTGGACTTTAAGAACAAGAACATCTCGTGTCCTAAGTGGTAAGGAACTATTGAAGGTAGTGTTTGGTTCAAATACCATTATCTCTGCTTACATATCCCTAATAGTATGAACACTGACAATAATGGTTATTGTAGCTTAAACAAAATCCTTAGCTCCTCAAAATGTGGAGAAGGCAGGTAGAGGCTTGGCTTGGATATTTGTCAGCTGCAAACTAGTAGCCTGCTTTCATGGGAGTCTTTGCCCACTTATTCATCACTTTTCTCCCTCAAAAGAGAACGGGGGTGGACTAGACAATCTTTGAGATCCTTTCTGTTCCTAAAAGATGACTGTAGCTGCATATTAGACATTTTATTCCAATAAAACACAGAGGCAGAACACAGGATAGAAACCCCATAAACAAAATTTATGAAATAACTGGCAATAAATTAGCAAGAGCAGAAATGGAGTAATATCAAGATAAATTTAGTCCTTTCACAAACCAGCCTGGCTTGATGCATGTGGTTGGCTATCATTTGGGCTTTCTATGCTTTTTCCGGCCATGTTTTTGTTTCTATGTAATTAGCTACCATTATATTTCCTAAAACATCTATTCCACACGTTTTGCTCTCTTCATATCAAAGGACACTTCCTGACACCCCCTCTGTCTGTATTTTTGCTTCTTGCCTTGTGGAGACTGGTGACTACTGATAGAAATTCTGTCCTCACTCCATTCTTCTCAAAGTGTCTCTCCCTATCATGCCCTCCCTGCCCGCCCCCCCGCCCCTGATTCCAGGGTTCTCCCTTCTGCCAACACATAAGCATCTAGGTAATTTTATACCATTTCCTTATTCCATTCACTCACTCTCTGAGTTGAATAACTGTTTAAATATTTTTCATTCTAACAAAAATAAAATGAATATTGCCTTTTTATCCCTGCTATCTTTTAACACAGAATTTCTTTTTTTAAAGATTTATTTGAGAAAGAGCACTCGTGAGCATGCACAAGCAAGGAAGAGGGGCAGAGGCAGAGGGAGAAGCAGATTCCCAGCTGAGCAGGGAACCCAATATGGGGCTTAAGTCCAGGACCCTGGGATCATGACCTAAGCTGAAGGCAGATGCTTAACCCA